TGGTCTCCATGGTGATGGTGACCTGGGCTATGGTGGTCTCCATGGTGATGGTGACTTGTACCGTGATGGTCTCCATGGTGATGGTGACCTGGGCTATGGTGGTCTCCATGGTGATGGTGACTTGTACTGTGGTGGTCCCCATGATGATGATGATGACGATGGCCAGGACTTCGGTGCCTTCCATGGTGATGGTGGCCTGGATTGTGGTGATCTCCATGATGATGCCGATTAGTTTCTTTATGGGAGTCCACATGGTAGTGCCGGTGGTTTTCATAGGGCTGAGGCCTATCCTTGTGCTCACTATGGTGATGTGGACGTGTTGGACCGTGAGGATCTCCAATGTCACTGGTTGAACTGTGACGTCTATGCAGATGAGGAGTGGTAGGCCGTGAGCTTGAATGGCTGTGATAGTGATGACTTGAACTATGATGGTCTTCGTGATGATGAGTTGGACTACAATTATCTTCATGAGTCTTGTCTCCGGACTGATGGCAATGTGGTGCATTGTGGTGTCTATGGTGATGGTGATGACTAGTAGTTTGGCCATATCTTTCATGTTGGTGATGACCTGGGCTGTTGCAGTCTTCATTGTTATGGTGATTGGAACGATGGCGGTGGTAGTGCTTTCGAGAAGGCAATCGAGATTGATGTTCACGAGCTGGGGATCTTGAGCAACAGCTTCTACGTCTGTGCTTTTCATGACCATATGGACTGTCGGAGCAGACGCTGGGATGATGGGAAGCATTAGAGTGAGACAGACGAGAAGACTTAGAATGCTTGCTAGTATGGGAATGCCTGCTTGAGCTAACTGAGTCTGCACTTGCAGCACGACTTCTCTGCTGTCTGGGTTTGTCAGTGCTACTGTCTGTCTCCCTGGATCTGGTGGAGACCTGTCCAGGGCTCCAGGGTCTTTGAGCATCCGTGACCCCAAGAGAGGTAAGTCTCATTGGGCTGAGCACTTGCCGTGTAATCTCATTAAGGAAGGCAGAAAACTTCATTTTTTCTTTCATTAAATTCTTCTTAGCTTCACTTTGGCTCCTCTCCAGCTCATCTCCTTCATTGCCTTCATTTCCTCCTTTGTCTTTGGGTGCTTTGAGATCCTCCATTGATTTTGCCTTGCGGAAGCTTCCATCATTTCCTAAACCTCTTGTACTTGTTTGCTGATTTTTGAATCCTGCTCTAGTAGGACAGCTTCGGGAAGACTTCTCAATGCCTTTTTTCTGCTTGGCAGATGTTCTGTGCAGACTTCCTCTTTTAATTATTAAAGGGGCAGTGTCTTCTTCTTCTTGTTCTTCAAAGTACCGATGTTTTGTAGAAATGTCAGTAAAAGACTGGGAATGCTGAGGCTTTCTGTGAGTGTATGTATCTGAGGAGTCACTGGTGTTTCCAGTAGAGAGGCTAGAGGTGGAAGAAGATGTGGAAGAGGAGGAAAACGAAGAAGAGGAGAAGGAGGAGGAAGATGATGATGAGGAAGATGATGAAGAGGAAGAGGATGTTGATGAGGAAGACGCTGAAGATGAGGAATCAAAGGAGGTTTCTGAAAGAGAAAATTGACGATGCTTTTGCCTGTGGTGACCATGGTGAGGGTGTGAAGAATGACTCTTATCATGTTCCCCGTGATTTTGGTTGTGTGGAGGATGATCGCCGCTGTCCACTGTCGACAGAGTGCTGTTGACAAAACATTGTATAGTTAGAATGTTTGAATCACGTTGATAAGAGATTTTTGTTTATTTCATGTAATAGCACATAGTTGCAAAGTGGGAAAAAAAACGTGGTAATCTTGGTAATCAGAAAATAATTGTTTCTAAGTCAATACTTAGAAAGAAATCTTTTGTGGTATTTCTATACCACCGTTGCACAGATGGAGCCTACGAATTTTGTCCATTCCTCTTTGCAAAATCCCACAAACTCAGCAGTTTTTAAGTCTTGCCACAAAGTCTCAATTTTTGAATGATATAATCTAAGCCTCTCTAATGTAGATCTGTCTGTAAGGATCCTTGACCTACTAGAATTTATTTCTTTTGCAGGCTCTAACAAATTTTGTTAATTTGCTCTATCCACTATTTATTCTGACCAGTTTTTGACCAGTTCTCAGTTAAATCCGGCTTACCATCAGCTCTGACTGGTTTCCCATTTGTCCTCAAAAGAAGCGTCCTTGCAGCACGAGATGCTCCCACCTCTCTGCTTCATTTTGGACATGCTGTTTTTAGACCTAACCTATTTTAAAATTGACACAACTTTATCCCTGACCACTTTGCTGTATTTCTTGTTCTTTATGAACTTATCAGAGAACAGCTGGATATAGTGAGGTCGAACTACACACAAATTGACTATTTTTGCAAATTAGGTGACGTCTGAACATAATTTTATTTTTCTTGGATTGTCTTGATGGGTGTCAGTTTAAAAGGGACTCAATCCAGATGCAGTTTTTAGTAAATATATCTATTTTTTTCTTCTTTTTTTCACTATGCTCTACTACTATGTCTCTAAATGTGATATAAAATGCAATGAAGTTTATAGTTGTAATGTGACAAACCTGAAAAGGTTGGTAACACTTTATTTAACGGGATGTTCATAAGACTGACATAACACTTTCATAGATGTGACATTTTTATGAATTTTTAAAAATCAATGAAAACTTTGCACTAACGTGTAATTATTTACCAAATAATGTAAAGTTAGTGCGTTTAATAGACCTTTAATTCTACTTTTAAAGCAACTTTGCATTAAAAGTGACATTATTTATCGAATGACACTTCATGACAACAATCATAATCATTCATTTATGTTCATAAAAGGTGTCATGTCACATTTATGACAGCGTTATATCACCCCTTCAAATAAAGTTTTACCAAAAAGTTCAAGTGATACAAACATTTTTGCAAGGCATTGGGTCTTAGGGCAGGGAGGAAGAGTCACAGACTTACTCTGGACTGGTGTTGTCATCGGACCGGTGATGGTAGTGATGGTGGTGATGGACCTGGTGGTGGCGATGCTGCATCACTTGTTTAGCCTTTCTGTGCTTCAGTTCTTTTACCTGATGGTCACACATTTCAGACGTCTTGCAACTGGTCTGAAATATTTCTTCATCCAGCCAGGCAGCAGCTGAGGACTGAAATAAAACAATCAGTTATATTATACTGCTTTCATTTTTTTTTAACTCAAAAAATTATAATAAAATTGCGCATTTCATATTTTATATGAATCTAATAATTAATGTAAGCTTGATATAAAATGAAACACCATGACATGAAGCAGAATTGATGCTTATTTTGTAGGAAACCAATGATGAAATGTTAGTTATTGTTTTAAAAAATTGTTTAAATTGACAAACAGCCTAAAAGATAAAGATATTCCAGCCATTTGTTGTTAAACTAAGTGACCTACAGTCAGTATCTGTACTTACGTTGAGAGCTGGGGCGTTCACACTGATGTTCCCTCTGTGATGCACAAGCAGAACCCGTCCTGACATATCAATATATATATATATCTCTGTGCCAACCAATGACAGAAGGGCTTTGATCTGAGCGCCACTAAAAACAGTACAGAGCGCGACTGCTTCTGCAGGAATCAATAAAAGAAAGAAAGTACGAATGAGGGCAACATATAAACAGCGATATAAACTATGATCATAGGCTATTCGTACAGATGTGTTTAGGTTTATTGCAAGGCAACAGCTCTACCAACTGTGCCACTGTGCAGCCCCATCTGTCTCACATTACCAAAAAAACAAAAAAAAACAACAAAAAAAAACACATCGTGATAATCCTCAAGCTTTTGGGGAAAATATTCTGTCAACTTACATGACAGAAGAGATATGGATAGTCAAACACGGTGGGGGTAGTGTGATGGTCTGGGTCTGCTTTGTCATTTCCTGACCTGGACAGCGAGACGTAATGATGGAACCAGGAGTTTTAACGGGTAAAATCCTGAAGAAGAGGCTTCGGCTGGCGGTTGCTAATCTAAAGGTCAAGTGGAGCAGAACAATAAACCGAAGCATTCCATAAAGATCACCTTTCAGTGGTTAAAAAAAAAATCAATGAAGATTTTGGATTGGCCTATTCAAAGTCTAAACTTAAATCAATTTGAGATGCTGAGGATTGACATTAAACAGTGTTTCCTTCTACTAAATCTTCCAGTGTGATTGAATTAAAAACAGTTCTGGTGAAAAGAAGAAAAAAATCTTTGAGGAGGCAAATTGTGTTTCATAAACAATTTTCTATTAAATTCTTGAAGGTGTCACATATTACCCTAATTCTCCATCTATATCCTCTTGTTTGTTCACTCCGTACAGCAACAGAAGAAATAAACAGTTAAACTGTTTTGTTAATGAGTCCGTTCTAATTTTGTAACACAAAATGTTCCCTCCGTTGTTATATCAAATACTGTTTATTTCAGCAAACATTTTATAGAGTTTTGTATTTATAACTGACGTAAAGTCAGATTTCTTTTTACAAAAAAAAAATAATCAATAGGCTATTTTTACACTGTTACTCTTGACATTTCTGTTTTCTGATTAAAATATATTTCTTCTTTGCTTTAATGCTCAAGGATAAGTCTAAGCTCATCCCTGTGTTAGTTTGTGTTGAAGCTATCATGTAAATAAATACACTCTGTAACAGAGGTGCAAATCACAACGGCATGTTGACAACAAAGTCAAATTATTGATAAGTTTGTCCCTATTATGTCAATGCGATGGACAAGCTAATAACTCAGTTAGCGAGAGCCACATTGAACTCCGATAATGTGACAGGGGCCACTGCACTTCACATGTTTTAATAAATCCAGTTTGCTACTTATGTCTATCTATACATACATGTAGATATAAACAGAGTGAAAAAAGAGGACATTTGAACCAACCTAAATAAACAGCTTAATTGTCAAATTTAACAAATTTAATGAATGAACTTAATTCGGTTATTTGTTACCAGTATAAGTTGGATCAAATATTCTCTTTTTTCAGTTCATATAGACGTAAATAAAAGTAAAAAAAAAGTGTATTTTGACGATGACAAAGACCAAGTCAAGACCTTTGTTTTAATCCAATTTATCTACAGTGTTTTACAAAACTATTCATTCTGCTTAGACCTTTGCAGATTTTGTGACGTTACACCTGGACGTCAATGTCTTTAATTTTATCTAAACATTTTATTGATGCTCTGGGTGTTTGTTTACGGTCGCTGTTCTGATGAACCTCTGCTGCCTTCTTCAGTTTTTTTCTTCTTTTTTTTTTTACAGATTTTTTTGAATTTATCTCAGTCCATCTTCCATCTTCATCTGCTGAAGACAAGCATCCCCACAGCATGGTGCTGCCACCACCATGTCTCATGGTAAGGTTGGTATGTTCAGGGTGATGTTCACATCTAAAACCATGAATCTTTCCCTTTCGCGATTATATGCTACTTTAACATAAGAACCCAATTGAAACGGACAAAATGCGTAAAAGAAACTCTAGGGGTGTGGAGACGTTTTCAAGGCGCTGTATGTATGAAATAGCCAGTAGATTTCTCCGCATCAATTCAGCTGTGACTCAAATCCGCTAACAACAAATGCAGCGAACCTGCGATGCGTCAACAACACGATGGAAAGTTGGGAGAGTCAGATGACAAATGCAAACGCAATTATTGTGGTGACTGATGTGAGATGCAAGAAGTTGCACATATAAATGTGGAATTGGGTTTGTTTAAGAAACTTAAATAATACGCCTTAATAATGATTAAAAAAAGGGAATTACCACATTAAATAAATTAAAACATGGTATTGCTAAATTCCCTCAGACATACATGAAACATTTGTGAACAAAATGTGAAAAGTAATTTGTGACGATGTCTAAATTTTTCATGTATTACTTTTAAATGTAAAATACAGTCAACCTAAATTTCTCTAAGTGATATTTTTGATTTCAGTATCTGAAGGGACAGTTCTGAGAGTTTTAAGAATATTGTACAGAATTTAGAACAAAATGGGAAGATTTCTCAGTTAAAAACATAAAGAAGCACTTCATGCAATTAAA